TTCGAATATTGGCATCAAAACGGCCTTTTTGTTTTTGCTGTGATCGTTCAGTATTTTGTCTTGCCTGATTCTGGTAGTTTGGTAATTTTTCTATTAAATCATAAGCACGTTGTAGAATACTTCCTTGTAAGTCTATTTCATCATCAATTTCTATAGATTCTACGGGAAAAAGTGCTTCGATTGGTAAGGTAGCATATCTTCCATATATAAGTTGAAAGGGAGTATATCCTGTGGTAGCATGTCTTTTTGTTCTATATGCTAAGAGAACAGCAGGTATATGCAAATCCCAATCATCATCTCCTTTCACTTTTGCAAGTGATTCACACAATGTTCTATTAAATCTTTCCACCATCCCATTTGTCTGAGGGTGGTAGGGCGAAGAGAATTTGTGCTTGATAAGAAATTTCTCGCAGAGAATTCTAATAGTTTCGCTAATAAAATTGCGACCTTGGTCTGATAAGATAATTTTTGGAGTTCCATGTCTACAGATTATCTCTTCAAAGATAAACTGAGCGAGTGTATTAGCACTAGCATCTGGAACAGCACGAGCTTCTGGCCATCGTGTCAGGTATTTGGTAGCGACAATAATATATCGATTGTTTTGTTTAGTTATAGGCAAAGGGCCTACAAGGTCAATTCCAACACGTTCGAAAGCTCTTCCTATTTGTATAGGGTGTAAAGGTTCTTTTCTATGACCTTTTTGTCTTCTTTGGCATTCCTCACAAGTCTTCACATATTCTTGTATATCTCTATACATTTGATCCCAATAATAGCGGTCAGATATTTTATAATACATAGCGTCAGTTCCCAAATGTCCAGCAGTGGGGTGCTTATGCATCATATATAATACCGGTTCAACTTCTGTCCATTTTATAACTCTAAGTGGCCTGTCAGGGTTCCTTTTATTCTTTTTATAGAGAAGGTGATGTCTAACTTCAAAGTATTTAGCCTGGGTCATTAGTCGTTTTTGTTCTTGGTCAGTAAATCCATCTGGAAATTGGTCTGTGTCCAAATAGTGGTAAAGATTATGATATTGGTCAAGATTCATATAATTTATTAGGTACAATGGTCTGAGTCGGTAGCCGAGAGAGGGCATCAACATTCGAATGAATTCGGCCTGGTTTATGAATAATTCTAAAATTGTACGGTTGGAGCTTCAAGATCCATCTTCCAATTCTTCCTTTGGGCTCAGCAGTACGTAACCATTTCAATGCTGAGTGGTCTGTAACTAAGATGAATTTTGTAGTGCCTAAATATTTGTGAAAATGTTCTATGGCCCATACAACTGTAGTACATTCAAGTTCAGTTGCTGCATAATTCATTTCTTCTTTTCGCAAACTTTTACTAGCATAGGCAATCGGGTGTTCTTTTCCATTCCTATCTAGTTGGCTTAGTGTGGCACCAAAGCCATTATAAGAAGCATCGGTAGCAAGTATAAATGTCTCTTTAAAATTGGGGTAGGCTAATATAGGAGCAGTGATGAGTCTAGATTTTAATTCTTCAAAAGCTTTTTGTTGTTCATCTTGCTAGTGATAGGGTTCATTCTTTTGTAGAAAAGAATTCAAAGGGCGGGCGATTGATGAAAAGTTTTGAATAAATTGGCGATAGTATCCCGCAAGTCCAAGGAAAGATCGAAGGGCTGTAAGGTTTTTAGGAGGTTGAATCCGTTGGACAGCTTCTACTTTTTGAGGGTCAGGGGCGATACCGTTAGCAGAGATTAAGTGTCCAAGAAACGGTAGTTGGTGCATCCAGAAAGTACACTTTTCTATATTAAGACTGAGTCCTGCTTGTTTAATTCTATTAAATACTCTTTTTAAATGGGTTAAATGTTCATCAAATGTTCTCGAATAAACAATTGTATCGTCTAAGTACACAACTACAAATTTCCATGCAATTCCTTTGTATACACAATCCATCAGCCTTTGAAAAGTTGCAGGAGCATTGCAAAGACCAAAAGGCATTACATTAAATTCATAAATTCCGTATCATGTAGTAAAGGCAGTTTTCTCTTTGTCACGGGGGTCCATGGCAACTTGCCAATATCCACTCGCAAGATCGAGAGTAGAGAACCAAGAGCATCCTGTAAGGGCATTAAGCATTTCATCAATACGAGGCAGAGGGTAAGCATCCTTTTTGGTAACAGCATTTACTTTTCTGTAGTCTACACAGAATCGTAATTTGCCATTTTTCTTTCGTACTAGAACAACAGGTGAGGTCCATGGGCTATCAGAAGGTTGAATGAGTTTATGTTCTAACATTCTTTGGATTTCTTCTTGTATAAATTCTTGTTCATTAGGAGGTACAGAATAAGGCCGGGAACGAATAGGGTGTACATCCTCAGTATAGATTCAGTAAGTCACCAAGTTGGTTCGTCCTAGCTCAGTTATATCATTTGCAAAGAGGTCTGCAAATTCTTCTAATAATTTCCGAAAAGCTAGGCCTTGTTCTTTATTAAGTGGTCCAATATTTAAAGAAGTCTGGGTCGATAGGGTATATTCTTCATGTTCAAGAGTAATAATATTTACAAATTTGGGTATAAGGTTCTGGTCTGGGTCGACAGGTAGTTTATGATCCTGCCTAGGATTCTCTAAAAATTTTGACAAAGTGTATCCAAGGCATTAGCTCGATGGTGGGCATTTTGGGCTTCTTCTCAGAAAAAGCATAATAAAGCAGCATTGGTAGTTTCCAAGGTTTCAATTCTTGCT